AATTAAAAACATCTTTTTAAAAAAAGTAGTAAGAGCTTGAAATTTTGTGGTTGATTTTAGCTTGTATGCACTGTATCTTAAAACTTTGCCTATGAAACTATCTTTTGTGCTTTAATAAAAAATGTTCCTTGCAAAATTTTACTATACTTCACATCCTCGTTTTCTATACGATAATCCTAACTCTAAACCTAACCCTAACCGAAATTCTATTTAAAGATGGTCGGCATCGGGATCGGAGATCATGGGATCTGTAAATTTTTTTGCCATCACTTTTCTACTACGAACAGGAAGAGCTACGTATATTAAAATAACGTGAGCTGGCAAAGTTACCATACCATGTCGATCTATAAAATAACAATGACGAGTAAATTGATCAAGTTCATTTTTTTTACTTTCAATCGATATTTGGTGGTCAAGAATTTTGGATAAACTTGACGAAGCGTTTCATAATTATCCAAAATTACCAGACAAGTCACCAGGAGAGAACAGGTGGGTGTGTATTACTCATGTTACTTAAGTTCCTCCTAATGTTGACTTCGTATGGATTGCAGTTTGCCTTTCCAGATTGGCTCAAATATAACGATAAAAACATATAACACTTTCCTTCACAATCACGGGTCATCTGGATACAAGTTCCAGTATAATGATGGCAACGTATATATAATCGGTATGGCTTCAGCCGTACACGAGTCTGTTGTTCGATTGCAAGGCTTTTTCAGATCTCCTAATGGTGGAGTTGATGACGATCCTCCAATAGAAGTTTTTGGACAAACTCGTAAGAGCATTTGTTCTGATTTGCTTCTTGTTATTGAATATCCTTACATTCTTGTCATAGTTCACTATGAGCCTGGTAGAACTGAGATTGAAATAGCGCCTGATGTCGCTGTATACCCAAGTGTAGCATTTGTTCCAAGACCTCCTGTCCCTGGACCTCCCGGTGATGTAGATGTATGTTGAGTTTGACGTGTATTATTGTATGTTTTATATGCAATTTTTATTAATATGGTTTATGTAGGGAAAGCCTCATGCACGAATAATGTGTGAGGTGGCCGTGGGTCAAAGTTTTGGTCATTTGAGACAAAAGTGTCTGACTTGGATGCAAGAGCAATATGTCCGTGCTGTTATTAGTATCAAGATTTTAAGTCCAAGAGTTAATATACGGGAACCCACAACTGGATATTTTTATAGATCAATGACAGTATGTCTTGCTTATTATTCCATTATACCAAATTAAGCATGTGGATGCAATTGTCTGTTTTTTGAATATTAGGCTAAACTTTATCGTCAAAGAATGGCAGTACAACGGTGGGATTTTGGGAATATTAAAAAAAATGCAAGGAATCCTAATAATGATCCTGCTGATTGCAATGGACCAGGCATCCTGGCTTTTCAGATAAATATTCCTATAAGCGAAGTATTTTGGAACCCGCCGATTCCTATCCTACTTACATATGTTCCAGTAATTCCTCCTACAGCAAAACATAATTGGTACTAGTTTTACTATTGACTTGTATCGGATCCAGCAAATAGCTTTAAAACAACGACTATGAATAAGTTCAACAATTGTGTTATGGTGATCTATTTATCCAAGATACTCGCATAATATTTTAGTTGAAATATATGTAATAAATAAGGTTAATAAATATTTTATTAGTGTTAGTGTGAAAGAATTACGTTACATGTCATGTATTAGTGCATAAAATGAACACTTGAATTGAAAATTTGATTATACATGTATCCGTTATATATGAGAGTCATAATGAATTCAACGTTTGTATTTATAAAATGTATAAACTTCTTTACTAAGAAGTAAATATGGTGCAGAAAGTTAATATTGCGCCACTGCTGAATTTTTGAAGGATTATCATTTCCAAATATTATTATATGCAAGCTTAACTTATTTGTGCAAGTCAAAAATGGATATTCAGGGTGGCGCAAACCAATAAGGAAGCGTAAATTTTTTGATCAACCCTGCAAAACAAATCCGATACAAGAAAATGAAAAAAGTGAATAATATAAAAATACGAAAAACAGATGTCAAAATCTGGCTTGAGGCATTAACAAAAAATGTTGGAAAGGTAATTTTATATATAATCTTGTTCTTCATTCTAACACATATCCTAATCCAAACGATAAATAGTCTTTAACGTTAATTTTTCGTGTTTATATGAGCGTGATTTTTTTACTTGCACAAATAAATAAGATCTTATATACAATGCTAATTAGAATTTTATATGAAAAATGATTATGTAATTTTACATGATGAAATTCAGCCAATCAAAAATAATTCACGTGATATTTTTAGATGCTAAAAATCTCATTATTATTATTAAAGTTGATATTAACAAAAATCTAACTACAAATAAGTTCTATGAATAAAAAGATTATATTAAAGATTATTTGATAATATATTTATTATTGAAAATTACTAGTTAAATTTGTTATATTTTTTAACTTGTTAGAAATTCATCTTTTATAACTAAGATTTGAGATTTTGACATAACAAATATTTATTTATTATTCAAAATCTTACTTATAATATCAGTTAAATTAGTTTTTAATTTTAAATAATAATTGTTGATTTTAACTTGTTATTTTTTTATATTGTTTTAAATAATTATTATTATATAGATTTTAATAAATTTTTTATTTATTAATATGTATTTTTATCAAATTTTTCATTAATATAAATAAATCTTTTTATTTTACAAAAATTTTTCATGAAACCAGTACTATATTCTTATTTTTTTTATTAAATTTTATTTCTAATAAAGAATTATTTTGTATATTTATTTTGTTGATAAATATCTTTGTTTTTATCAAGTATTTTTTATATTTTGTTGAATTATTATTCAATTAATTTTCAATTTGTTGATTATTATAATTTCTTATTAAATAATTTTATTAATATAATTATTATTTTTATTTATTATTAATTATAATTTAAGATTTATTTATTATAATATAATTTAAAAAATTATTATTTTGCAACTTGTATTAATAATTTAATCACATAATATTATAAATCAAAGTATATAGAATTATATAATAAATTATATCTCTTTAAGTTATTTAAATAATTTACTGATAATATTAATATTTATTTAATAAAAAAAGTAAATATATAGTGAGTTTGGCTAATAATTAAAAAATTGATCAAAGTTAATTTTCAGCCTAATTAGTTAATTTTTATTCAATATATTAAAAAAAGTTAATATATATAGATAGTAATTAATAAAAAACATATATACTTATTAAATTTATATATATAATTTTCATTACTAACTAAATCAAAAAATTGATTGGTTAATTTTTAGAGATACAGTTAAATCTCTCTATAGTCATATCTGTTTATAGTCATACTCTTCTATAATCATCCTATTTTGCTTTTCTATTTACATATAAATATAGTAAAAAAAATCTCTCTATAGTGTTACTGTTTCCGTTGGTTTATTAATTTTCAAGTATAGATCACGTGTTCTTCACGTGTCTCAATTAAGTGGGAGAGTTATTAAAGGCTTTTATGTGTTTAAATGATT